ATTAGGTTTCCAAATTGTAAGTCATAGCAGCTCAAATTATCGTTTTTTTAAAGCAATTTAATACAAAATATTATATAAAGTTAGTGACACCATATTCTATTTATACAGCTAAAAAGCTTGTTTTAGTAATAAAATGTTTACTTTAAATATATTATTATATAAAGAGTAGGTAGGGCATGGGTCATAATATGAGTTATGATAAAAAACAAATATCGCAAAGGTATGTTATCTTACATTACGTATTTACAAAGAACAAAGAGGCTAACCGCATGAATTAAATTAGTCACTGACCGTTTTAAATATTATGTCGGACGAATTTATGACTAGAAATAAACAAACTTTAGCTAACATGATGGCGTAATTTACTGCCGTTCAAGAATTACGGAATTTTAAACAAATATGTCTTAGTATTAATATAGGTATTTAGAACGATAAAGTTAAAAACCCACATTAAAATTTAAAAGTTATTTCTGTAGTTCCCTTTACATTATCCAAAAGTAACATTTACAATTTCAAAATAAAGTTAAACTAGAATCGATGGTTGAGTGACTATGAAGTATAAGATACTAACTCTTCGCTAGCGGCTTCAATTTATATAAAAATTCAGAATGTTTTTTTGTAAAGTTTATTTCCATTTAACTAAAATATGTAGGTACCATTTTGTTCGATAATTTTTTGCCATCTTGTATCACGTCCCTACCTACAAGATGGCAAAAAGTGCTATAGAAATTTTGAGAAAACACAAGGAAGTGCTATGGAAATTTTGGGGCTTCTAATCAAAAAACCGCGGCAAGTGATTTTGGCAGTCCTCTATATTAACCTGACACTGCCGAAAGAATTCTGAAGAGATCGAAACGGAAGAAATCTCCAGTTCTTCAAATACGTTGTAACTACTGATATGCCGATATTGTTCCACTTTTTCAAAAATGGCACCCATTTTATCCGTAACAAGACGACCGGAGCGACGTGCATCTTTGACATCAAAATTTCCGGACTGAAAACGCTTAAGTAAACCAAAGTTGTGCTACTCTCACATAAACTGCACTAGGTCCATAAACGTCACTATTTTTTTCGCGGCTTTAGCTTTTTTGTAATAATATTTTAAAATGTATCGAATTCCTTCATTAGATTTACTCATTTTGACAGTTAGAAAAACAAATGAAAATCACACATTTTCCTAAATTGAATTCGGAGTTATCTCTTTTAAAATTTAAACTTTTTAATGATACCGAAAGATTTTATTACAATTTTATGCATTCTATATGCGAAAAGGCTTTTCTCCCAACCTAATATTAATCCAGGCTTAGAATTCAATTTAATAATTCATTTGGATAAGGTTTCATATCATGATACGGATATAATTACACTGACAAATTGAATAGTAAATTATGGTTACTATAGTAATGTTTTAATTTCCTATACAGACTTCCACCCCATTGTCATTCCTTTATTTGTTGTTTTTCGGGATAAAATATTGCCTATGTCCACCGCATATGATGTAGCTTCCCGTAGATAAAAGATTTTTTAAAATTGGTCCAGTTGATTCGGAACTTATTCGATGCGAACAAACAATCAAATCTTTCCTCTTCGTAATATTAGCATAGATGCATTATTTTTTGTTAATATTCTAAAATCATGATCACACAACCATCTTAAATGACTAGATAAAATAGTATTTTTTATCTTTATTTATAGCTAACAATAAATAAATCAATTTTGGTTACGAATTTGATTTATTTAGATACATAGTTTGTATGTATACCAGTATTGTTTTCTTTCTTTGTAGTAGCAGGTACCTGCTACATACGTTTATGACTGCCAGTCAAGCGCAATGACAGCAGATAAAGTTACGCATGACATGCTTTATATAATAAATGAAATCAAACGCAAAATGTGAATGCATGTAAAATATACCTAACGATAAATTGACAAAAGGAAAATTTAAAACAAAATATATATATTCTAATAAAGTTAGACGCTGTTGCATGAAATTAGTTTTCTATACAGCTACATTATACCAATTGGTCCTTCGAGCCGGATATTTATGTACTTATGTTAGCTCCCAATTGTCATTCATGTTTTGCACAAACGTAACATTTTTTAATTATTTCATCGACAATTATAAGTTATTTATATGACACATGTTACACTAATAAACCTAATCATTCAAGTCGCGGTCAAAAATAGGTACTTAGAACAATAAAATTATCATTTTTTTTGTGAATTCTGCATACTTTTGTATCTATCTTAATACTGTTCGAAGATAGTCAGTAACATCAAAGAAGTACTTACAGGATTTTTATCTCAATCAATATGAACTTGTCAGATATTGAACCGTTTGTGGAGGTTAGAGATGCGTTATCATAACTTTATCTGCCAATGTTTAAGTTAAATCACAAAGTGAACTTCATAGTAGGTATTATTTACTGTACATAATTGTAACCTAAGAATTATTTGTTTATACAAATTTTATAATTCAAATATTATAATCAAATTATAATAATTCAAAATATTTTGTTTTCTTCTCTATACTTGACCTGTTTTATTGTGTTCGTACTTTTTAAAATATATCTATATTTTATGTACTTTTGAAAACATTATGTCTAATGATATAATTTTACATTTAAACATAAGCATTATATTTAAGATTAACTTTTTAACTTTTAAGATTAACCGCTGCTTTGCTCGTGTAAATTACAGCCTATGGCATCCGTTTAAAATCGATCCATCTGTTAGTAGTAGGCTATTCAATAAAAAAAAAAAAAAATCTTGCCTATTCATCATATTAGTTGTCTTTTAATTATTTATTGCTAATACAATTTTACTTCCAGTTCTTATTTAATTAAAATATTAGCTACCAGCCCTGCGATTCTGTAAAACTTCAAACCCGATTTCGAATCCACTCAGGTGTCCGAATTCACTTCAAAAAGGGGCGTCCGCTCAAACTTGAATGGTAATAATGTTTCGTGAAATAAGTTTCGAAATGATATAGGATTAAAATATCTAAGACACATTTAATCAATCAATTTTGTTTAGTATTTTTATACAAAAAATGGAATCAATAGGATTTCTATACTAAATGACAAGAATTCGGACACATGAGTGAATTCGAATTCGGGTCTGGACTGTTACAGAATCGCAGGGCTGATCCGGCTTCGCACGAGTGATAAATTTCCTCATGAAAATTTAGAATAATAATAAAATTTATAGATTATATAACATCATTGCGTTATAAAGTGTGCAAAGGATATGATTTCAACAACAAATTATAATTACATAACTCACCAACTGTTTTATTACACTACATTTTTTCTACCTATCTAGAACCACAACATATACTCATAAACTATACTAGGACTGTTAACAACTTGCATAGGAATGTACTTACATTAGTTTTATCCACCTTGACTATTTTTTTTTATTGAACAAATCAACCATGTTTACCTCATGGTGAGTGCAAGAACTAAGGAAACTAGATCTAAATGTAAGCATATTATTTTTATAAGTCCTATTTTTCGTAGGCTGATGTACTGTAAATTTTGTATATTTATTAACCCCAAAAAATATATCGTTGAAATTAACTTCAATTTAACCACAACATTTGTCACAAAGTAACATAATGAACATATATTACATAAGCATGTTGTTTTCATAACTCTCTTATTTATCCCGATGAACTTAAGGTAAAGTATTGTATTAAAACCCAAATTTACTTTTATTTATACTGAATAACGATTGTTAACTTTAAAAATAATCTAATGTTTAATTCCAACATAAAATACAATAGGTAACACTCGTTTCTATTTTATCTTCTTTTCACTATTATTGTATACCAACCATAAAATTAATATAACTAGCAAGTGTAGATTGTATTTCACTAAGAGCACTGTAATAAAATTACTATCCGAAATTATACACATGGTCCCAATTAATTTATATATTTATAGACAATTGGCAAAATCTATGGAATAACTTAACGAGTTAACTACACGTGAACTTAAAAATTACCCACCTACTTATAATAAGCAATCAAATTGCTAAGGCACTTGTTAAGGTGCACTTGTTAACCCGATTTTGAATGAGATTTCTATAAGACTTAAGCTCACAATAATAGTAAACAAAAGAATAGTTAATTTAAATATGGTAAGAACTACACGTTTTCATTTTGATAATTGTACGGCGAAATCATTTTAAGATTCACTAATTAATAGACGACAGTTATTTTCCATTTATTGTACTTAAAACTCAAATTTCTCTAAACGATTACTTAAATTCCTTATGTACACCTCATACAGCATTTGTATCGTGCACGGGTACACTGCTATCGCAACAAGACGCAATTAAATTCGACACACACGACAATTACTTACGCATACAGAAATGAACCTTAAATCTATGTACATTAAATTGATTCGTTTGAAATGAGACGCACCAGTAAGAGTTTATATCAGTTCCGGAACTTGGTAACACGTTATACGTCATGCGCAATGCGCGTGCGCTAGTAGACTGGCTTAGCGGCTTCGTTTGGTAATGTTGGTGCCATTGAACATGTGACCGTGCTGACTTCGTGATCAGATCATTAAAGTGGTTATTGAAGCGTTAGTTCCCCTACCAAACTTTAATTTTACTTTGCACTGTTGAGATTATTCAAACAGGTAACCATTAATATTGATTACATTGCGTTTTATATTGCATTTTTTAAATTATATTTATTGGCTAAACACAAATCAGCCATATGTTGTTAAAATAACTTTTTGTAATTAATTAACGGAATTATAGGACGGTTACATTTAAAATCAGTCGATACTTTTAAAATTAAAATTGATATAATTATTGAAATCAAAAACTTTGGAAAAAAAAAACTGATTCCACTAGTTAATTTTAATATGTATTAAGTTTTTCTTATTAGTTTATTTTAAGTATACAAACAGTTAACGTAACTACGTATCCAAAGCTCTAACAAATATTATTTATGAACAGTGTGTATAAAAAATAATTACCTTATGATATGCACTCCTTGACAATAGGCACGGGCGTCTGAACGCAAAGATGTCTCGTATCAGCTGATGATAAGGAAGATGACGGCTATCTCGTGATCGCACGTCACGGTTGGCAGCATTGTATCGCTCCTGCGCAGCCTCCAAGGCCTCGACTCATCATTCATTATGTAAACAACGCACACATCAACAGGACATGTGATTATAACACCCCAATCTATAAATATAAGAACCAATATCATAAATGAGGTCCTTTGAAGTTCAGCTAAAGCATAATGAATTATTGACCGTAAGCACTGTCAAGTTAATTGCATAAACTTATATAAAGTCAAATATTCATACCTTCTAAATATGGAGTGTTAATAATAACGGAATTAAATTGATACAAAAACTAACTTCGTTATTCATAAAATCTCACCTCATCGTTTACCTTTATAGGAGATTATTGATATGAACATCTATGGGGCAAATTACTCTAGATATACCCACCCTCCTACCGCAATACAGGTTTTATCTGTAGGCACAAAGACTTATTTCTCTTCAAAACTACATACCCTGATATTTGTCTTAATTTGGTTACTTATTTTTTAACACCTTTGCTCGTAAAGCTGATGTAATTCCATCGGTTTTAAATATGTAAAGCGGGTCCTAAAAAACGCGTGTGTTACCAAAGCAAATAGTTAAGTTATAGTCCATACAAATCCCATAACTGTATTATTTGCCATTTCGCGCGATGTTACTATTCAAATTTCGAACTAATCGCCGCGCGGCGCAAGTCAGTAGGCAGCGCTAGCGCGCTGTTAAAATGGCGGGAAAGCAACAGATTGAGTTTATTTAATGTTTTTTTTTTCTATTTCCTCGCAAATGTGTTAAAAAAAACGTCGTACGATATACGTGCGTATTGGTTATAACATGCTCGGCTCAATTACGCCCTCGCCTTCGGCTCGGGCTGAAATTCCGCCTCGCATGTTATAACCATCATAACGCACTAATATCGTAATGTACTATAAATGAAACAAGATTCCATTTCGTAACTTAAGATAGTGAAGCTGCTGTATTAACGGATACTCCTAATCTCATGAACATTGACACACGTTAACAAATTATCATTTAGTTCTTAACCTAGACTAGCCATAAGTTCTGTTACAAAGAAAATATCCGATAATTTCTAAAAAAGTAATTTTATTTTAAAGTTTTATATGTGATTGAAGAAGATATGTTAACGCACTAATCATTCAAAGCGCTTACCTTAGCTTTAACGTACGCTTTTAAACGGTCGGGCCATTCGTCATTATATTTACGATCAGTTACCATTGGAAAATTGGTCAGTGCTGCCTCCAAAGATTTCTTGAGCGACTCAATATTTGGGTGACGCTTAGAGCAGGCCATGTCCTCTAGCACAGGCTACAATTTATATTCCAAAGGGTTTAAGTCCGGACTAGCCGAAGACCAATCATCAGCCTATATGAAGTCTAGAGCAGTTTGCTTAAGCGAAATTTGTGTAGTGCGCGACTTATGAGCCGGGGCTGAATCCTGTTGGAATGTCCACACTTTGATTTTGAGTATGGTGTTGTTGAGAGATTTAACAACCGCTTCTAACACGGTATCTTGATACACTTTGGCTGAAGATTTCACTCCTTTTTCGCAAAAATGACGTATGCTGGATGAAGGCCTCGCTGAACTTTGGCCACTACCTCAGAAGCTTCTTTAGAGCTGTGTGCACACCGTCGATCATTTTGTTTGTTGTATTGCTCCTCGATTGTAATTTTTTTTTCATCGGTAAAGATATTTTTTCCACAATAGCTGTTTTGATCTTTCGACTCTCTTTTGTTTTAGTGCCTGATTTAAGGTATGTCCTGTGTATTTCCAGTAAGCCCCTAGACCTAAGTCTTGTTTGATAATCCGAAAAAGTGTCCTTGGTCGGATTCTCATTTATCTGGAAAGGATGTTCTACTTCCTTATGGGATTTAGATGAATTCTGACCTTGACTGTTTGTGCGAACTACGGTCGCCCGGATCTCTCAATATCATCAACAGACATGGTTTCCTTTGGATGGTACGATACGCAAACATTCGGTTTATCAATAGTTTTTCAATATATCAAAAATGTCGGCTGGCTCCTTACCTAAACAATAAATATACAATAATAGCGGGACAAAAGTCTATTTTTTAATCGTAAAAGCTAATGTTCTAAATTCAAATTAATGATTTTTTTTAAATATATGTGAACAGCCAGTAACAGAATTTATGGCTAGACTAGGTATATCATTTTCTCGTATATACATATAGCTGTAGACGTCCAAATAGACTACTACCAAAATATCAGAGTCGTTCTATGGCGGTAAACTTCAACAATAAGCCTACAACAATAACCCTGCTGACATACAAAATCTAGAATTAAATAGACTCAAATATTAAATTGCGCCTTAATTGTATTTTAAATGAGTGTTTTACTATACACTTTTCAATTGATATGTATTGCTTAGAAATATGCTTAAGTGTTGATTATTGTTCTTATTAATTTGAATTACTACTTGTTTATTATTTTTTTATCAAGTTGAAATTTACATATGTTACTTGGACATCTATTATTATTGTTATTACTATGTATTACTAGTTATCATTTGAATGTAATTGATTTAGTTCGTTTTAAATAAATATTAATGTCTTTGCATGCCCATAATTGGGTGAATGTGAACCGCATTCATGCAAAATGATCTATTATTATCTTTTTCAATATCAAAGCTGAAAATAACAGTGGAGCGAATTTACCTTCGGAGACGTTTTTTTCTATGGTTACTAACCGCTTGACGTCTGATTAATTAAAACAGGTGGTGGTAAAGACCCCTCTCGTAATAGTCGCCAAAGGCTAGATCGTCGCACAACACAACATGAGACAACCTCGCATTTTACTATTTGTAATAAATATTGTGATTCATGCACATGATTGGCGTACCAAGTCGCATCATTTTTCAGTCCCTTAGCCTGTTTTTTATTCAGTCCGGTATCTGTTGATCCAATGTATTCAACAACCATAGGAAAATCATCAATGTCAGTACAATGCTTGCATTCTCAAGGTTTCGTTTTTCTAACTCCAAATCAGTTGTTCGAATATTGGAATCGAGATGTGAACCAAAATTGACATATTTTAAACAACACCAGTAAGTTCGCGACTCAGAGGCGCCATTCGTCGTTCCACTTTGTTGAAAGCACTTCTTCCTGGAGCATTTGTGGCAATGTAATTAGCATCCAAGCCAAAATATTGAAAATGATGTATAGCTGAAACTATAACTCGCTCGTATCGTGAATTTTCATCGTGAACATCACAAGTAAAAATAAATATGAGTTTTACAAAATCTTCTCGAGTTTTCATAAACTTTTCAAAAGCAAGCATTTAAGAAAGTCTATGAATGTCTGTGGCATGAGTCTCTGCATTAGAAGAAGAATGCTTTCCACTACGAATTGCCACATATGTATGCCCAGAGTATGTCACAGCTTAAGGTTTCCCTGCACCGTCCTTCTTTATTACAATACCTGCATATAAACAGAGGGAATAAGTTTATGTTTTTCTGCGACCACGAAATCAAGGTGTATTAATATTGGTGCTTGAGCGTTTGCTGCTGTAATACCATAGGCACGCGTGCTTAAACAAAAAAGAAAACTTGATCAGGATCCAAAATTGAAGCTAACGATTCAAGATTTCTTATCATAGCAGTACAGAATGTGCCATCTTTATGTTTCAAATCGTAGAATCTGGTTAATATAGGTTTACAGGAAGAGTTACGACGTGTCTTTTTCCTTCCTCTGTATTGACTCGTCTGGGAAGAAGTTTCGAAATAATAATCTGTCATTTGAGGCCTATTAGGGCTCCCTTGAATTATGGGACCCCATGCAACCGCATTGGCTGCATTGACGTACTTACGCCATTGGTCAGCATTGTAGTAGTCTTTTATAATAATTTTAATACCTAGTCAGTTTAGTTGGGTTATTACAAAATTCGAACTTACCTTTACGTCCTCGGACTCCAGTTGCATTCGTGGTGTTGACGTCGGTGGAATTTTCGAATAAAAATTGATAATTGTCGCTTTCTTTTTCGTAATTTTTATTTGTAATTCTTTTATTTTACATTCCACTTTACCTTTAACATTGTCATTACTCAAACTTCTCTTTAAATTGTTAACTTCCTCTTGTATATTTTTTTAACAATATAATCACAAAATAGAAGAACTAAGATAACGGCGATGTTTCATACACGTAAGTCAGTTGTCAAATGAAATAATAAACGAAATCGCCGCTACACAGGGTGCGTTGGCGGCATTTATCAGAGGGTATTTTATTAAGCGGTCGGCGCGTAACGCTAGTAGAGTGATTTGCTAACAAAACAATTCGAACCTTATTTGTCTACAGATAGAGTGTTTTTGAGTTTTTTGTCAATAGTTCAATGTTTGTGTTTTAACGCTTAGATTATAATGGGTTTTTAAATGTGACGTCACGAAATTTAGGACCCCTCCCTCCCCCCTAACCTGTGACGTAATTAATGGATGGCCCCTTAGTCTTATTATTATTTTTAAATTTATTGATCGTACATACTATTGCGTTACAAATAATATTTTTATAATATCCACAATTAAAATAATAAAAACTAAAGTGCAGTTCAGAAATTAGGAAAAATGGATACAGTAGGTGAAAAAAAGATCATAGAAATATAACATTTATTTTATAAAAGGGACATTATCAAACAATTATAATATCTCAAGTTTCCAACTAATAAAAATATAGATAAGAGACAAATACACAAAGTAATAAAAAATAAAAAACAAACAATAATATAATACGAAAAATACGTATGCAAATGAACAAATTAAAAAACTAACATACAATTATAATATTCACTGGTCACGTTAGGGTTGGTACATATCTGACTGAAAATGCGACGCGTGTCCTCGGTCACGGAAAGTCAGAAGTGACAAATGATATGATACGATATTCGACCTGGCTCACGACCGTTGATACGTCGTGTACTTAATTACGCATACTTCCGTGAGATACTTTACAGGGCCAGGAGTCTCGACAGATTTTGCGATCGAAATCTTACCGAATTTAGTCGCTAACTCATCGCATCGTAATTTAACGGTTACTGCAAGTCTCTACAGTTAGGTATATCGTTATTCGTTAAGAAAGTACCGAGTGCAAGTGTCACATTAGCGATATTCGTTAGTTTTTTAGCGATCAAGTTTGACAATTCGGTCATTGAACTCTGCGATTGCTACTTAACGATCGACCAATGTCGAAACTACAGGCCCTGATCTTCAGTTAGATTTGCAATGACCCCTATTATAGTAATTATTCTATTTACCCGTTTATGTTTTAAGTAGTCACAAAGATCGATTATGTAAATCTATGATTGTCGTAAATCAGGTTATCACAAAATGTCTAACCAATTTTAAACTTCACAAAAAGCACTCAGGATCACATTGGAGAAATTGATCGATTCTCTATAACCTGACATGTTTGTACTAATCGGTTGAATTGGGTTAAGGAAAGAACAGAATTAGAACTTCAGGTGCCAGAACAAAGTGATATACCTAAGGTGCTTCGGTATTATTAAGAAAACGGTAAAATATTGCCCTTTTTATAATTTCAAATTTTTTACTTTCCTTGTTTTCGTAATTGCTCAAGACACCTTACAGTTTATTTTTATTCTACATTCACTCTGAAAGTATGTATATCGTTACCTAAAAACAGCAGCAAAAGCTTTCACGTTACATACGAACGTATACAAATCATCTCGCAGATTATATATGAATTACGTTAAAAAAATTACTGTTATTAGGATCAATTTGTCCAAAGAGTATGGGCGCTTGTGCACTACACTGAATTTTCAGGTCCGGCGGTCCGATTTTTTCCGGTCCGATATGTCAGGCCATATAAAGGTAATGCTAGCCTGTGCACTGTCAGGAATTTTACCGTCCAGGATTTTACTTTTCTCTATTCCGGACCGGTTTTTTCAGATCCGTGATGGCGGCAATGAAAAACGTGTTTACGCTTGTGCACTGCTGTGTCCGCGATCCGGAAAATTCATAAGGAATAGGCTTGGGAAAAAATAATCGATTTGTGTAAAATCTATATTTATTTACAGACTTTCGGCGATATTGTTAATTTCCAATAAACTTATAATCGATATTTATTGTAGATTATAAAATGCTATATTTTATATGATGATTTAATAATTGGTAAATATCACTGCATATGCTTTGGCAAATTGGCGGTATAGTTATATTTGGTCAGCGTATGGTTGTAGTATCGATACTTAGCTAGATTTTAGAATCATATTAAAAGTATCGATAGCTTAAGGTAAGATAATTAAGTGTTGTTACGCTTAGACGCCTAAACAACTGAACCCATCTTAATAGAAATTAATAATTAAATAGACTTAAATATAAGAAAGGACAAAGGCTTCATTTTATCGCGAAAAATAGGGGATGAAAGTTGCCTGGAAATTTGTCACAATCAAAATTTTTTTAGACTATCGATAACTATAGATAAATATTTGATAACAGAAGTAATAATAAAGAATAAACAGAAGATTAACAGAAGTAATTAAGTGACACTCAATGTCTTTTGCGCATTTAAGTCTATATTGTAATAAAATTTGAAATGACTGTTTATGTCATAAACAGAGGTCGGAATTAGGTAGAGTTATTTATGTACTTGCATCGAAATGTTGATATTAATGTGGACCTTCCCGGGATTTTTAATGGACAATCTTGGACATCTTTGGACATCCGATGTCATTGATGTAAGTTTGGTAACATCGTGCGTGCAGTAGTTTAAATTGTGTAAAAGTAAATAACTTTTTATTTAAAAAATCACGGGATTTTTTCTGCTCTTTAAAATTAATCTCGGGATTTGAGGCATATCCACTTTATTCTTTCGCTGTATGAAATCCGTGTAAGTACATGAATAACTACCTAATTCCAACCACTGGTCATAAATCAATTAAAAAAAAAGAAGTATTCTAAGGGAAAAATATTTCTGCTCAAAGAAACTACACCACGCGTCTAAAATTATGCCTATTTATAATACAGCCAACTGATCCCGTAAAATTCATTTAGCATAAAAATTCTACGCCTATACGGCACTTATTTCGATTTGTTTACGAAATGGCGCCACCGATTAGTCTATCTCTGTAATCGGTTAAAGTTGTTTTTACAAAACTAACGAAAAAATAGCATGTTTATAAATTTAAACATCAAGTACTGGACCATTATCAGTAATTTTATCCTCACGTCACAGATATTTTTAGCTATTATATGTGAATAATGCTGTCCCTAAATTAGTAAGGGTATAAGTTTTTACATCTGATAGTAGTAAAAAAATGCTTTCGGCTTGCCTCAATTTATTATGGTTTATGTAAAATGATCAGGTCATTATTTAGGTGCCTTTCTAGGTCATCGAACGCAATTACCAACGTTCCAAAAATCTCATCGTACCTAGCGTAAGTAACGTGTAGCTTCAAAGAGAGCTGCCCTACACTACGCCGCTCCGATCAGGAAAAAAACGGACAAGTGCACAAGCTACTCATCCGGGTTTTTCATGTCATTCCGGACCGGAAATATCGGACCGCCGGACCTGAAAATTCAGTGTAGTGCACAAGCGCCCTATAGATGTTCGTTCTGATAACTTTATGTATTCACCCAAAGAAATTCGGAACGGTTTGGTGACATTTACTCTTTGGTTGTTGCAAAGAGTAAATAAGAGTACATACAGAAAATTTAAGAATTATCTTGTCAAGGAAAATATATCCTTATTTTTATTAAAAAAAAAATTATAGTTCCGACATGAAGCTTCAATTAAAAAAAATAGATTAGTTGTAACTGCATAAATACCGATTAGAAGTAACAAAATTTAATTGACAGATTTGTTAAATATAATAAATAAGACGTTTCTTTTAGCCCGTAAGTCAATTTAAACGTTGTGTTACAACTTCATTAATTCTATTGTGGCAACGGTAATTTAAAAAAAAAAGAAGAAGTACCACGGTGCTCACTTCATTATACTAGTTAAGGCTCACAAAAGTTTATACGTTGCTCTAGCTGCGCGACTCGATTAGGAGCATAATGTCAAATGCGCAAAATGACAAACAATGTTGTTAAAAGCACTGAAGGTCAAAGCGAACTATGACAAAAATTAAGTTACACACATATTGTTTTTTTTTTAAATTAAATATTATTATTTTTATCGACGAGTCAGACTCGCTTTAGCAAATTTTATATATATTTAGAAAAGAAAATTCCCATTGTATATTATATTATATAAATATAGCATACTGAACAAAGTATGTGAAATGAAATGAAAATATCTTTATTCAAGTAGGCTTATTAAAAGCACTTTTATCGTCCAAAAAAATTTTTCCCCTACTTAGCGCTGGTAGTATAGATATTGGTCTGAAATTACTGGGATTAGCCTTGTCGTATGCCTTGAAAAGTGGAATTATTTTACCATATTTCATTAAATCAGGAAAAGTTCCGACTTAAACTGATTTAAGTTGATTTTGGACATTGTGCGCTTTTGATTCATTACGCTCCTAAGTAGGTACTTTAATATCGGTGGTATAATACAAAGCAAATAAAATATCAACGCTTTTAATCTAATTCAGGAATGTACTACCGAAAGGACAGGCCATTGCCTTCCTTAATTACTACCATCATCCAATGTATACAAGATGATAAAATAAAACTGCACTATTACACCAACTTATTACACTAGCCGATAATAGTTTGCGAGGTGACGTTTTGTTGAACTATATATGTTACGTTCAAAGATCGAAATCGCTCATTGAACAAAAAAAATAGTTCACAACGCGTTGTGGCTATCACTGAATAACCACATAGCGAAATTCGCGTTACGGCTCTAATAGAAACTTTCACTCGTTATGGCAATCGCAGAAAAATCGCAGTAAAATACCTATCGTGGCTGACATGCTATTCAATCTCAACACGTTGTGGCAATGAAGAAAAGTTACGACGCGTCCTGAGCATCAATTGGTTCAACTAGCTGTTTTATTTTACAATAGCGGTTCGCTTCTGGCACTTCGTCGGTTCAATACGCTTCATGGTTTTTCATTGCCACATTGTAAATTCAATTTATTACATTGCCACAACAATTTTAGTCAAATAGCATGACAGCCACGACACGGATTTCGCTATGTGGTTATTCTGTGAAAGCCACAACGCGTCGAGAGCGTTACTATATGAGCCATAACACGATTTTCGCTATGTGGATATTTTACTGTGACCTCAACTCGTTGTGAACTATTTTTCGTTCAAAAAGCGATTTCGACCTTTGAGCGTAACATATACGTATAATATTATATGTCAAACAACACTTAAAATAATAGGGCATGAAATTTAATTTATAATCAATTAATTATTATTATATTCAATATAGAATTCTCATTCACAATCCAATGTTATTGGAAAATTAACCATATCACAAATAATTAGGTTTGGAATTAAAATTTTAGTTCAGAGTTCAAATGAATACAGCAGCTCCCAAATGTCACTGTCAACTAATCAATATAAATAAAGAAAATTTAGAATAGTCACTGCACTAAATATAGTAAAGTAGGGTTTATCGATCTAAATTTTAATCTTTCGCCCCAAACCCATGAAATTATACTAAATAATTAAAGGATGTTGTACTGTCACATTCATGAATCTGAAACAATGAAGAATCAAGATATATGCAATAATTACTTTATAATAACATTACGTTTTGTATTAATTTGAAGTTAAATGAAACCCATAAACCCAACAAATCATCATACTTTGTCGAGTTGTTGAAATTTTCATATGATAGGTTTTTTTTTTTTCAAAGCATAGAAAATAGAAATCATATGACTATATGACCTATTAAAAGTTTCCGCAATGTGTTGGCTATATATACATTAATTCAATTTATTACATAATGATGACTTTGAATATTCACATACAATATATCATAATTTATAAATGTTATATAACAATAGTTTTAAATATTAAAATACAACATATATCACTCACCTAGTAAGGTAGGAACTTTCATTGACCATAAAACTGTGTTTGAGCATTTCACTGTTACATGTTCTGATCCATCGAATGTGTTTGATGTACTCACTATTTCCCCAAATTTTAAAGACTGACTTTCTGCAATTATACAAGTTTCTTAATAACAACAACCAAGCTTTTTTTAGGATGATGATTAATTTGAAGAATATTTTTAATATTAAGATACATTGAGTTGAAATGTCGTATGACGTCACACCATTGTACATTTTCTACATAGTTGTGACGTATTGACCCACTCCCCAAATTTGATGCCTATTATCTAAGCCATTAGTCTCAATTTATAGAAAAATTGCTACGCTTTGGTGAGCAACACTGCTCTGATGATTGTTAACACCGTCTTACAAAGCTATGCATTAGAATTCATGGTCAGATGATCAGTGTTGTATAATTTCACACAACCTACAGGAGACCAGGGTGCAATCACCTAATTGTTGCATCCTATGGCTAAGAGTTAGGCAATTAAACCCCAAACAGTAAAATTCTGTGGCCACTAGCAACTTTAGTTTGTTTAGTAAATACAAAGGTGATTTGAGGGTAGTATGTAAACTAATTTCGCACGTTGAGAATGACAACGTCACTAACCAAAAACGACGTATTTTTTATTTTTGGCAACATTATTCTTTGTTACCTATAAACTTTAAAATGCAAAGATCCCTGTGAATGTAGTTTTCATAGAAACTGCTGTGTATTGCGACAAGGGGAGAATATGTAAAAAAATAAAACATGTTTTTATTTTTATTTTCTTTGTTTTCTTGGTCAGGCTGAGAACTTTTCAAAGCACCTTCATATGTGTATAGCATGGTCGCCCAACAGAAAGAATTTTGTACAGTTACCCGGCATAACATATCTCGGACAGATGTATCTAGCTACATCGACGAAATCTATCAGTAGGCACAAAGGTCAATGTACGAAATTATTTTTGTTGGACAACGGCGTGCTGTAGGCCCAAAAAATTCAATTTCACAACAATGGTTTTACCTAAATTCCACTTCAATCCTGATGTTGTAATTCTGGAACAGGTTTCTCCAACAGGTATTAAGGAACACCAAGCTCGTTTATTTACTTGAGACTGCTCTGGTATTTTAATGATGTGATCTCCTGGTTGCAACAGCCATGATATTGAGTCATCAGTGACTAAATAAAGCCTAGTTTTCAAACCTAACAATAACTTTTCCTTTGCGAGAAATAAAGTTTGAATATTTCCCATGATATGATCAAGTCGCCCTGAACTTTGGCAAATTGTTATAACATGATCAATCTGAAAAGTGCGAAATTTAAAATCCATTAAAAAGGTAAATAAAATAGTTTTAAAATTGTAAGCAATATTTTATATTGTTTCAAAATTAGTAGCTCGGTGGCGTAGTTGATAAGCGCCGCGGCCCGTGATCGTAGTCATTAAGCAACTTTCGCAAGGGTCACGGTCACGGGATGGGTGACCAAAAAAATTATTATCTCGAGCTACTCCGTGCTATCCTCTAATCCGCATTGGGCCAGCGTGGAGGGTCATGGCCCATCCTCCTTAACCATCCATAAGGAAGGCCTGAGCCCCTGCAGTGGGGACGTAAAAGGGCTGGTGATGAAGCAATATTTTATATTGTTTCAGAATTATAATTTACATAATTTGTCATTTATACCTTACAAACAAGTTGTTTTTCTGTGACTTCGCCTGTGTAAGATATAGCCTATGTTACCTACAATATCTGACTAGCATCCCTCAAGTGAAAGAACTTTGAAAATGTATTCAGCCGTTTCAGAGCATATTTAATGCAAACAAACAATCAAATCTTATCTTGAGCAAAATTAGTATAGATATCAGAATAATGCTTACCTCTAAATTATTTAATTTACACCAAGAATTTAATTCCATTAAAGCCTTTGTAAAATCAGTGTGGTTTTGATCAGGTGTATGTATTACCTGAAATAAATAACAAAAATTATTTACAGATTTTGTTAGCATGTGTATGTATAACTCATTCTGTGTTGTGTCAAGCTTGACTTTTTTAATATTGACATTAATTTTTCAGGACACTCTTATATAAATTTTTAAAATCTTTAATTGATAAAAATAAGTTTTTCACCTTACAATTAATAGCTTCATATTTTTGAAGTATTTCCTGAGGAATGGAATCAAAATCTCCTGTTATCAAATCAGGAACTCTAATTGTTTTCTGAACATTTTCAGGTAATTCCTTTAGAAAATTGTCCCATTGTGCAGTACCTCCATCAACAGTGACTCTTAAACATGCTGTAATAAATAAAAATGACGATTTTATAATACACCTTATCAGAAGTACATTGATAATTAAATAATGCGAGAAAAATATTATAGTAGTTAAATTTAAAAATGATTTTGTGATAATTAACACCATAGCTATACTCAGGTTTTGAACAGTAAATAATTAGTACTAAATACTATCCATGACAGCTTACTACTCACTTGATAGCTCGTGATTATCATATTATTCAATAAAATAAATACATACTTAATGTATTTATTTTTTCACAAAATAGTTGTTCACTTTCAAAATATATACTTTACTAGTTCCACCAGTATGTAGTGGTGTAGTTTGTGTAGTGTGTAGTTTAAAAGATCTCGAGAGTACAGATAACAGAAAGCAACTTTGCTTTATATGAGGGTGGATTAAAAAGTTTGTGGCAAGACAACAATATAAAATATAAGCAAAAGTGATTTTATTTTTCCATGTAATCTCCACTTAACTCTATGCACTTCTTCCATCTGGTTTCCAATGCCTGTATGCTGGTCATAAAAAAAATCTTTAAGGCCTTTCAAAAAAAGTCACCCACCGCAGCTTTGACCTCTTCATTTGATGAAATTTTTTTACCTCCAAGGTAAAAAAACACCATGGAGGTAAAAAAATTTCATCAAGGTTTGGGAATAAATAAAAGTCTGAAGGTGCCAAATCAGGGGAATAGTTGGGATGGGACAGTAATTCAAAGCCACAATCATGAATTTGAGCCATTGATTCAACAGACGTGTGAACGCGTGCATTATCCTGATGGAACAACACTTTCTTGCTGAGTAATCCTGGCCTTTTCTGATTTTTTCGCACAAGCGACGTAAGAGGGTGAGTATTATTTTATTTATTTATTTATTAGGATAGAAGTGAAAGCTAAAGTTAAATTTAGAATTTTGTTTAATTTAATATAATGCTATTGCGATAGAATTGTACAAATTGCCAACCAGAGAGTAAACTAATCGAATGAGGTCAGTTACATTAAAATTGATCGAGTATTTCTATGAACTTTTCAATCCACCCTCATACTACATACACATTAATGCATGTACAACTTACCATTATTCCATAAATTTGTTATGAAGGTTTGGTTTTGTGTTATGGGTCGATTCAATATGACAACAGCATATTTAGCCCGACATTGTAGTTGTCTCATTACAATTCGTGATATATCCCATTTCCAACATCCGAGTAAATTGCAATTTTTCGCACACTGATTGAGCTGCAGGCAGAAAACATGGGAACTCGAAGCTTAATGTATTTTCAGTTCTTAACCAAGGCTTAACCTCAAAAAAATTTTGATGATAAAATTGGTCCCTCCTTTCAGCACTGTTAAATTACAATTATTATATGATTTTAAAGGTCTGTTCACAAGCGAGAGTCAACATAAATCACACTTAATAAACTAAAATAACACTTGCTATCAAATTAAAGGCTATGTTTACATTTTTAACAAACCACATTTTCCGAAGTTCCATTTGTTGCCATTTGCACTATTACCACGTAGATACTTTACTTTAAAATTGAATCAACACAATAACTGTGTGGATTCAAGACAAGAAACTTTAAATATAAATCAAATAATTTGAAAATGTGTGTGTGACATAAAAATATTTACATTAAAAAGTAGTACAGACCCCTATTGACTTGACACATGTCATCTGACCGTAAATAAGGATGTGAACAATATCAAGAACAGATTATTCAATTATCGGTTATAATGAGAGATATCAACTAGTTTGTATTAGACTTGAGTAGCTCGCGAATGAGTGATATAAATGTTACATTTGTCTCAAGTGAGCGAATATATCATTTCGCTCGTCTATATTTGAAATATATCCTTATATCTTTGTAACACGATTCGTTTTAGACTAACTCCGAGTGAATGAAATAGTTCTTGCAAAACTTCTATTTCGCTCTGCCATTGTTTCGTATCACATAAAGATAATGTTTACTTTCTTACCGCACCTGTGCTCGAAACAACTTCAGGATTTGGCACAGACTAAACGTTGAGTACATGCGGGTCATCGCCATCTTTCATTCATTTAATTTTCATTTTACATGTAAATATTAATTTATTTACTTGACATTAGTAGAATTGTGCGAAATGCGCAGATAAGCCATTAATTAAAAAAAAGAATTATATTTTTAAATCAAGAAGTAAAATGAGTAGTTTTTCTAGATATGTAACCTGTGTTTCTAATCAAACGAAACACCAATCAGCACGTGACTTCTGTGTTAATAAGAATTTAAAAAAAAGCGCAAGAAACAATCAAAGTGTAAAATTATAATCATGCATTGAAAGTTCTATGTACAGATTCAATTCGAAGGATTATTTTTTATTTTATTACTCGTGTATTAGAGTATAAAAGAAACAGCATGCAATAGTTCATTTATTGAAAATCCCTAAAGTTTTAACTATGGATGACGTAACGTCTTTTGACTAAGTTGCTGTTTACGCGCCATTTTTAAACAATTCAATTAGAAACTTATAAGAGTAAATTATTATTAATACTTATAAGTATGTTAGACGACACCACATACATTGTTCGAATTCCAAGATGAGTAAAAAGCCAAAGCCTTCGTATTATGGAATATCTGAGACAACGAAGGTACCACGACCACTCAGACCCCAGATCAAATAGAAAAGTGAATTTTCAACATTGACCCTGGGAATCGAACCTAGGGACTCACGATGGCGGCACCTTAAAACCGGCTTGTGAACCATTCGGCTACGGAGGTTGATTGACGTACATATGTAAATAATAGGTAAATTAATTTAAAATGCTAGATACTGTAAATGGAACAATGATATCACAATTTGTTCAAGGTTCTTTAAACAATATGTGGGGAAGTTCATTTGAGAGCAAACTAGATAACGTTAGAATGTTATGTACAGACAGTGTGGTATACATGATATCAGCTGGTAGAATATTAAAATCAACTTTTCCAAAAATGTTGCATTTCACATGTTTAGCCCATGCTCTAAATTTTGTTGCGGGGCAGATTAGAAAAGAGAACCCTTATGTTGACAGTGTAATTTCAAATATGAAAAAAGTTTTTTTGAAGGCACCAAAAAGAATTAAAATCATTAAAGAAATGTGTCCGGATTTACCTTTACCTCCTGCACCTGTAATTACCAGATGGGGTACTTGGCTTGATGCAGCATTCTATTACGCTAAGCATTTCGATGAAATTAAATCTGTATTGTCTGTGCTGAACAGTCAAGAGGCAAAATCTATAGAGAATGCTTTAAAAAAATTTAATAATAATTACAACATTAAGGATGATTTGTCTCGTATTTACGAACATTTTTCAATTATACCAACAGCTTTGACATCACTACAGAAACCCGATCTTTCTCTAATGGAATCATTTGAAATATTTGATGCAGTGAGATTAGCTTTGAGATGGGCAAATTGTGAGAACTTAGAAGATAAAATGGAAAAAGTCATGGATGGTTTAGGAACCGTAAGGTTGAAGGTTGGGTCCCTAATGTGGTGATGGAGACAACTGGCCAGGGAGACTAAAGGATAATTGTCTCCCTCCGAGCTAGGTGTTGTTACCCCGGGGACCGCGGTCCAACCGATGTAGGTTGGACGTTCTATTTATGTTAATTGGTAATGAAACTTATTCTGTGCGATGAAGGTTTCTTTGTTCTAAATGTCTTGTAGTTATTAATTTATGCTGCTTGTATTGGTACAGCGCCATCTCGTTACTTGCTGTTGAAACTTATTGCAGTTCGTCTTGCTATCGATGGCTGTGACGATGCTAGTCTTCTCGCAATCGATTGTTGTGGCGATGTTACTGCGATGAATTAGATGTCGCTATGTATCAGTCGCCACAGTACTTTCCCCCTAGACCGAAGGTAGATCCATGTTGATAGTAGGTGTTATGCAGTCAGTGCTTCAGAGGTTGCAAGTGCCAGGTGTGACGTCGGGACCGAAGCTGCTGGTGTGCAGGGCTGCCACGCCGGTGAGTTGTGTGTGAACTGAGGTCCGGCCGTGGGCTGCGAGGAACAGGTCGGAGTGATGCCGTCGAGTGGTACCAAGGATCCAGGAAGCGTCGTCGATGCTGCTGTGATGGATCTTGATGTTGGTTGGCTTGCTGCTGAAGTGGCTGTGCTGATGAGGGATGAAGGGCTGATGATGAAGAGTGAGAGGCTGTTGATGAAGAGTGATGGCTGCGTTGTGATGCTGAAGGTTGCTGATGTTCTGCAGTGTGATTTGGACACTATCAGAAATAAGAATTTTTTTCTTCCTGCACTAATGACGAGGAGGAGGAAGTGTATAAATTTGCTAACCTCACCTCAGTTGACGTAGAGCGATCTTTTTCAATGTACAAATGGATTTTAAATATTCGGAGAAATTCATTGAAGCCAAAAAATATTGAAAAGCTTATGATTATATATGATTATATAACTCTCACAAAAGTTATACAGTAATATCGGAAGCGAACACCTCAAATCTTACTGGTAATCAATCGGACAAGGAAAATGATTCTGATGGGCCGTTTGAATAGGCAAAACCTCATGAGTCTAAGCTAGAAGCAAAAGTATTCGCTCGTGTTTATAAAAAAGGCGAAATATGCGTATGAGAATTTGCTTAAGACTATCAATAATTTGTATTGTAAATTAATGTAAACTAATAGAAATTTTATGTTAATTATCTTTGTTTTATTTGTCTATCTCTGACGTTGTTATTATTATTTAGTTGTAAGATTGTTGGCCACACGGGATTGTCCATTAGAAATCCCGGGAAGGTCCACATTAAAAGTGTATTTGATGTTATTCAAAGTATGGAAAGAGGTAAATCTCCTGGTCATGATGGTTTGAGCATAGAACATTTGAAGTTTGCAGGTGTTCATTTGCCTCGTGTGCTTGCAATGTTTTATAGCTTATGTGTTAGTCATAGCTACTTGCCACCAGAACTCACTAAAACTATTGTAGTACCTGTAATTAAACACAAAACAGGGGATCCTTCTGATATAACTAATTATAGACCCATATCCTTGGCTACGATAATGGCTAAGGTATTGGACAGTCTCTTGGATAGTATTTTAGCTAAGCATATAGATTTGTATGACAACCAATTTGGTTTTAGAGCAGGTTTATCAACTGATAGTGCTATCTTTTGTGTTAAACAGACTGTACAATACTACACAGCTAGAAAAACTCCTATATTTGCTTGTTTTTTAGACCTATCAAGGGCGTTTGATCTTGTAAATTATAATATACTGTGGCAAAAGCTTTACTCAGAGACCAATGTACCTAGGGAGATTATATCTGTGTTCAAGTTCTGGTATACTAACCAGATGAATACTGTCAGATGGGCAGGACGTTTTTCTGATATGTATGGGTTACGATGTGGGGTAAGACAGGGGGGCTTAAGCTCACCTCGATTATTCAATCTATATATTAACCAACTGATTCGGGGGCTTAACAGTGCCAAAGTTTGGTGCTACATAGATGATGTCAGCTTAAATAATATTAGTTACGCAGATGACATGGTGTTGTTGAGCCCATCTGTTAGTGGTTTGAGGAGTTTATTGTCGATTTGTGAGTCTTACTCAGTGGCTCAGGGGCTTAAATATAACACCCAGAAAAGTGAGTGGATGCTGTTTGAATCAGGTAACATAAATTACCATAAGGTACCGGAAATCTCACTATGTGGGGAACCATTAAAACGAGTTCAGACCTTTAAGTACCTGGGTCACTGGGTAACGGAGGACCTGAAGGACAACAAGGACATGGAAAGGAAGCGCAGATTGTTGGCTGTACGTTGTAATATGCTGGCTCGCAGGTTTGCGCGATGTACTAGATCAGTTAAACTAACTCTTTTCAAAACATATTGTCAGTCTTTTTATACGTGCAGTTTGTGGGTTAACTACACGCAGCGGGCCTTCGATGATCTGCGAGTCCAATACAATAATGCATTCAGTACTTCCAAAATACCTTTTACCGGATAGTATGTATAATATAATAGGATACCGTATGGTGATGTTAGAAGGTGATGAAGAAACTAAAGATCTATGTGTTACGCATGGGATCTGGCATAAATATATAGATAGATATAAGTTAATGTACTATGCAGTGCTTCTGGTATGTTTGCAGAGGCTCGTATAGATGGTTTCGGCGCTATTATGAGAAAACGTTGTGCCTCTGCACTGACTCGTTTACGCGGTAGTACTAGTGATATTCTCAGTGTATTTATTGATCGGTGGGATTTGCCACTCTTACAGAAGTGGTTACAGTATCACAAATGAAATAAAAAAATAAATAAATAAATGAAATTATATAATTAAAAATTTAATGTAATATAGTTTAATTTGGTTTTATTGAAATGTGTGATAGAAATATAATTTTGTATTTACTAACATTATTTTTAGGAGAATTGTTACTAACAATATGGGTACTACCTGAAATAAATTATTATTATTATTACATATTATTATTATTAATATCAACATTTCGATGCAAGTACATAAATAACTCTACCTAATTCCGACCTCTGCTTATCACATTATTCTATTACATTAATAATTCTTGTATATACGTAATTTGTAATTTTTATTTAGAAAAAATTATACAAATGTTTTTTTTGATGCTTTGCTTTTGTCAGTAAATCATTATTTGTACAAATTTGGCAGTATATTTCATAATCTAATAAAAAAACATTTCCGTATTTTGCAGTTTTTTTTTCGAAATTAAACAAAATCTAACCAAAACAAAAAATAAACATACTAGGGATTGGTATGTCGATAAAAACCTGAAAAGCATATCGATATCGAGAATCTCAGGCTTCGATAGTATGGAAGGCACTCATGATTGTCCGCCGGATCCGTAGACAGAGAAAGCAATAGACTAATGGTATGTTCTATCTCATTCATCGAGAAATGAAATGACTTATTACAATTTACATTAGTTAAAGTGAGATAATAACATTATTTGTTGTCCTTATCGATGTGGCCGGTTTTTTTGTTTGGCACCAGGCTTGTTTGGCACCAAAACGTCAAAATTTTAGGCATAGATATTGTTGGACTCAAATAATATAGAAAAAAGTTGGAAAGAAGTGTATTTAAACAATATTTTATATAATGTATAGAGTTTATAATTAAGAAACGTTACTTGCAAATTAAAATAATGGTTAAGTGCAGTGTTATATCTTGCAAAAATAGATCCGAAAGAAATATTGTAGGTGTATCATATTTCAGGTAAGTTAGAAGCATTTTGTTTATTTCTTCGTAAGGTAAAATTTCTCATTGGCATAACCGATGTGAATTTTATTAAATACAAAACAAGCTAAAAATAGTATTAAATAAGTCGAATAAGAATATAACCTCAAATCATTAAGGCTGACATCTAAGTGCTTAAAATCTCCCCTCAGAGTGCTTTAAAATTAAATTATCAATATTCTGTTAAACAAATATCAAAATGTTTGAAACTCAACTATTTTCTAAGTACATAGAACTACCAAATGCGATTTAAAAAAACAATCGGGCAGTTTTTAAACTTTTGATTAAAATAAATCCAAGTTACAAACTTGGATTTATCTTGGAGAGGACTCTCAGTAAAGTTTTGCATGATTATTTTAAAATACCGCTTAATTTACTGTAATGTAATGTTAAATTACATCTTCTAGACTTAATTGAATATCATTTCTGTATTTAGAATCACTAAAAATTGTGCCATGTATTTGGTTGGAAATGTTTGAGTTTATACTAGATAATATAACTAATTTTATCAATAAATCTCGGCCAAATGTGATTTTTCTTCATAAAATATTGTTATTCCATATGATAATCAAATTATTATCATAATGATGACTTCAATTTTCCAAATTAAAATATGAAATTAAAATAAAAGTGTTTTAGTAATTGTGTTTATATTTTAGAACATGAACTTCAAAATTGATTGATAAATGAAACTGAACTTCAAAATTGGATTGAAGCTTGCGGAAGACCAAATTGTAAGCCTTCAAGGCATGCCAGGGTATGTTCAATGCATTTTGGAAGAATGTAGGAAGACAAACAACATTGAGTACATAATAAGGATTTTATCTATTAAATAGATATAAAAGTTAAATACTTATTATACAAGTAAGGTATTTATTACTTAACAAGTCCACTTTTTATAATACCTTCCTTAAAGGGTCCTCACACAATGTAACAAGAATGGTAAGTATAGAAAAGTCTGAAACTATAAGATATTGTATGTTAGTAGTAAGCAGTTAATACTTTGAAACACAATGCCTAAAATATATAAAATGCATTATCTACATATCTTTTCAATTATTTTGTTGGTTTCATACAATATTAATTAACCGTGTAAAACCTTTTTAGTTTGAGAATCTAAACTGGACATTTTAAAAAATAAAATATACATAATTTATACTAGATACTCATAGTCTAAGTAATAAACTTTTAATGTTATTATTAAATAAGAATTGCCTTCATTAAAAATTAATCCTATATCTCTATACTTGCTAGGAAATTTTAAATATTACTATGTCAGTTAAATATTTGATTTGTTCTTGGAGTTATAGTTTTTTTGCACTTGTTAAGTAATGTTTATTTACCATGCCATAATTGTTGTATAAAAATATGAGATGTTCATAATTTAGTCGCAAATCGGTTATTAGTGTTGTGTAGACAGAACCACAGATCATATTCTTCATAAATATCATAAACTTATTTGTGCCATAATCTAATCTTCAAATATTATCTGTGCTATTCTTTTAGAAATACACTGATCATGATTTGTTTGTATATTTATAATAAAGAAATGCTAGAAAATATATTGTGAAATAATATCGGCTATGTTTCTTTTTTTTTAAGAATTCTTGTCTATGATTTAAGCGTATTGTAAGCTAACTAAAATATGTTTTTTTTTTTAATTATTTTGTATTAAAATATAATAATTATGTATCATTTTATTGTATATTAATATTCATTTTCATATTTTTAAAAATCTTTTGTGTGATTAGAACTCACTGTAACAAAGTAAATTGTGCTCTAATTTGTGATTGGATAACCAATTAAAAGCCAATTTTAATTTATAATGGTATGTATTTGGTATTTAAATTTTGTTTAATGGCTTTTAAATATATTTAACATTATATAGTATTAACACTATTAAGCGAATACTTATTTAGATTAATTACTCTGGTGTACTTGCTGCAGTTAAGTAGACAATTTATTTATTTTTTCTGATCCAGTAAGTTTATTTTAACTTATAAGTAGCATAATTTCTATTTTCAATATGTAATTAATACATGTGATATACAGCAAGCAATTAAAACCACTCTCCAAATTTGAGTATGTTAATCT